AGAGAGAGAGAGAGAGAGAGAGAGAGAGAGAGAGAGAGAGAGAGAGAGACCCTTGCAATGGTATGCAGCAGGCTCTTGACATTTCACTGCTAATTTAAGACCATGAAACACCTCACCATTTATGGCCATGCGGCACTGGGGAACGAGAATTTAGCGGAAAAGGCCAGCGAGATAGACAGTCACGAGGAGTGTTTGATTAGCTCGTTCTGGCCAGTGCTGTGTTTTGTGTTGAACTTGGGTAGTCCAGTCCTCTGATTCATCCATGCATGCATAGAAATGTATAAAAACCGCTTTCGGTCCTACATGAACACAGTCAATGATTGAAAGCTCAAGGCCAACCCCCGTACTCTTTCCTTCCGAGTTCCTTTTCAAGTCAGGAGTTATTACTGGATACCATTAATGGTTACTGCATCTTGATGTACTGTAATCTATGGCTGGGCATGCTCTCCGTAGTCTGAATCCATTGGGTCCATCATTAATGAATTGGTGGATTACTGCACTTCGGTGTACCGTATGTCCTCCCTAATATGAATCCATTGGGTCCTTCACTATTCCGAGTCATTGTGTCCTCCCTCACCCATGCACTCTTTCTTGCTTGCTCAGTTTTGATGTTTTTGTCCTGTGAGGGCACCCGCACTCAGACTCTTTCTCTCACTCTCTCACTCTCTCTCCTTCACACACAACATACATCTAGACTAGGGGAAGGAGGGGGCTACTGCGCATTGTAAGGGGTTCCCTGGCCTCGTTTTCAGCTTGGTTATTGTTATTAAAATTAATAATAACAGTAATAATAACAACAATAGATAATTCAATCGATTTCTACGTTACATGTTTAGGACAGGGCTAACTGCGACGGAGATCATCGATCACTGGCTTGCAATGTCACTTCGGTGTTGTCCACACTTCTTCTATATGCTGGAGCTATCTAAATGACGCTTCCCATCCACCCACGCTGGTTTGCGCTCGTTCCCCTTCTTGGAATGGTCATAAATGTGAGCCGATCGAATATATGAAGGTGGCTTCGGTGGGGTTAATCAACTGGCAGAGGCAGATGAGTTGATTGCTTGAGTGATCTTTTTCTTATCTGACACCACGAAGGATGAGCGAGGAAGATCCATCCGGGAAGCTTTCTGCTACGCAGCACTTGCGATCATTTGATGTCCAATCATCATCAGCACCATCAGAAGGCCGCACGTCAAATGGAGCGAAGAAGTTGATGAAATGGCTCGGCTTCCGCCTGCCCTCCTCACGAAAGGTTGATGTCAACAGAGAAGCTGGTTTACCCTCAACAGCAGCACCCAGAGGTGAGGCTCAAGGAGGAGAGGGGCAGTGTCATTTTGGTTCATGGTCATTGCTGCAGGGCCTTCCTAAGTGCGCAGCTGCATTGAAATCTGAGTGTGCAGTTGCGGCAGCAGAGCTGCCTGCAGCCCCTCAGACTGCTGCCTTTGCAGTTGCGGTGAAGGGGCATCATACAGATGGGTGTGATCAAGTGAAGACGGGCAGGGTGCACAGATGGGAGAGAGGGAGGTTGCTGGGTGTGGGGACGTTTGGTCGCGTCAACCTCGCTGAGGATCTTGAGAGCAAACAGTTGTTTGCTGTCAAGACTGTTCCATGCTATGCCAGCTTGCCTGCCAGCCGGAAAGCTGTTGCAGCTCTGGCACACGAGGAAGAGATGCTTGGGCAGTTGAGCACTTGTGCTCACGTCATTCGTTGCTTGGGCTCTGACTTGAGTGTGGAGCCTGATGGAGCCATTGCGCACAACTTGTTTCTTGAGTACATGTCTGGTGGAAGTGTTGCAGACCTTCTTAGTCGGGATACCGCCAGGCTGGGACACTCGTCGTCGTCTCGGGCTGGAGGTGGTCCCCCACTCGATGAAGAGCTCGTTCGACAATGCACCAAGGGCATCCTTAAGGCATTGGATGAGGTGCACGCTTACGGGATTATACACTGTGATGTGAAAGGTCAGAATGTTCTCATCTCCTTCCAGCAAGAAGACAGTCTAAAGCAAACCCTTCGCTTGGATAATTTGGAGGAAGAGGAGGGGTTGAAGGAGGATGTGGTGGTGAAGAAGAACATTGAAGGCGAGGGTGAGGATGAGGAGGAGAAGGAGGTGGAATTAGTAGTGAAGTTGGCGGACTTCGGAGCTGCCAAGTATTTCAGTTTGGACAGTAACAATTCTTATCAGTCAGGGAGACGCCTTGCTGCCACGGCTTCCTCCGGCCTTCATCCTCCTCCTCCTTCTCCTTCCCTCTCCCCCAGCTCGCAAGAGGCTTTTTGCTGTCATCATATTCATCATCAGCATCAGCTTCGGGTTGATCTCCCTGGTTATGGCTCAAATCATCCTTTGTCAAATCAGCCAAGTCGAGGCGGATGGCTTGAGTCTCTTCGCGGGACCGTCCATTGGATGGCCCCTGAAGCTGCCCGGGGCACGCCACTTGGCCCCAAGGCCGACATCTGGTCCCTTGGCTGCACTATCATCGAGATGGCTACCCAAGAGCCGCCGTGGCCACACATCCCTGACCCCATGGCCACTCTCTACCATATTGGATGTACAGACGAGATCCCGGCCTTTCCCAGCAATCTTAGCCCGGAGGCACACGACTTCCTGTCGGGTTGTCTCGTGAGGGACCCGGATAAGAGATGGACTGCCTCCCAGCTGCTTGCCCACCCCTTCATCCAGAAATCTCGTCTCTCCATAGCTAAACCTGTAGTGCATTTAGCATTTGCAGATGCTGCTGCAATCCAAGGGAACAAGGAGGTCAAGCAGCAGCAGCATCAGGAGGACGAGGATGTAGAGGGACGGCAGAAGCGTTTCCCACAAAAGTTCATTGAAGGAGTGAAGGATGGGGGGAAGGAATAATCATTTATGCGAGAGGAAGGGGAAGGGTTGGTAAGAGAGATTAAAGAAGTAGGAGGAGGACAAGGAAGAAGAAGGGGATGGTGTGGAGGGGACATAGACGAGGAGGTGGCAGAGGAGGAGCAGTAGAAGGAGAAGCAAGAACAGAAGAGAAGAAAGACGAGGAGAAATAAGAGGAGAAGAGGATGGGAGTACACTTGTTGCCAGGGAACTTGAAGAGGGGGAAAGAAAATGGAGAAGACGAGGGGAGGTAGAGAGGCCGACGGGAGAGGGGGCAAGGGCCAAAGCAGGAGGAAGAGGAAGATGGGAAGGGGGTGAAGAGGGAGAAATAAGGGGGGAGGAGTAGAGGATGAGGGGGCTAGGGCGAGAGCGGGGCGGAGAGGAAGGTGGGAACGGGGTGAAGAGGGATGAAGAGGAGGGGAGGAGCAGAGGAAGAAGAAGGGCTAAAGAGGCAGAGGAGTAGAGGAGGAGGG